AGGCGCTGAAGCACAAATTTCACGAAATTCATAGTGCGCTTCGCAGCAGTCGTCAGGAGCTGGTCTTGGGGCATGATATAGGGGGTGGGACGGGAACATATCTGGTGGGGGTAACAAAGTGGTAACGACTGATATGAGCAGATAAGAGGCGCTGAAACACAAATTTCACGAAATTCATAGTGCGCGTCGCAGCAGTCGTCAGGAGCTGATTTTTGATATGATATAGGGGGTGGGACGGGAACATATTTGGTGGGGGTCACAAAGTGATAACGACTGATAAGAGCAGATAAGAGGCGCTGAAACACAAATTTCACGAAATTCATAGTGCGCTTCGCAGCAGTCGTCAGGAGCTGATTTTGGGGCATGATATAGGGGGTGGGACGGGAACATATTTGGTGGGGGTCACAAAGTGATAACGACTGATAAGAGCAGATAAGAGGCGCTGAAACACAAATTTCACGAAATTCATAGTGCGCTTCGCAGCAGTCGTCAGGAGCTGATTTTGGGGCATGATATAGGGGTGGGACGGGAACATATTTGGTGGGGGTCACAAAGTGATAACGACTGATAAGAGCAGATAAGAGGCGCTGAAACACAAATTTCACGAAATTCATAGTGCGCTTCGCAGCAGTCGTCAGGAGCTGATTTTGGGACATGATATAGGGGGTGGGACGGAACATATTTGGTGGGGGTCAAAAAGTGATAACGACTGATGAGGACTGATAGTAACGATATGCGTACGAACGTAGAGACTTAATCGAAAATAGAGAGCAGATTGTAGATAATGCATTTCATTTCATTTCATTCAGCGTTGTAATTGTAAACTCAAACACCTTTCGACCGCTACACCTTCTAGAGTTCTTGAGGATGAATGGGATGCTCGAATAAATATGATAATGAATACTGGGCATTCCGTTTTGAGATATTCGACCGCTAAATTACCTCGATACTCGACGCATAGTGGTTGTTTACATCATCACTTTAGCTGTGCACTTCACTGCGCTTATCAAACAGTGAGATACAGCCAAGATGGGCAGCCTATGCAACGGACAGTAATACATTTAACGAAGCAGCTATAATTTAGCGGTGAAACCTAAAGCTTCATCGATTGTCAGTTCTATCAATGCGCGCGGTAGCGGGCGGAGCTAAACTGGATCTATATACAATGTGCTATCCGGCAGCTGAAGGGGAGGACAAAGGGGAGGGAGGTGGTGAGAGAGATGGAAACCAACCGCTTAAAGAGTGAGGTCAAAGTAAGTGTTGTGCTGTTATCTTAGTGGCTTCATATTGCAGTTGTGATAGCACACACAATACAACTAGCTATCTTGAGTGAAGCATTTCGTAAGCTTTCTTCTTTTGTCTGGTAGCCTTCCCTACCGCAATTACTTCTGTGATATCTTAGACCGCGCACTACGCAAGCCAAACGCTGCTAAATTCGAATTATTTACACACTTAGTTATCGAAAGTAATCCCGCTATTCTTTGAGAGGTCCAGAGATGAATTTATATAAATGGTGTCGCTGCGTCACCAAGAAGTACTCTGCCTCTGCTTCTTCCCTCCTACACGGCACTCACAGTGCTTACGTAACATCATCTCTTCAGTTGTCAACGTTGCATTTTTAATAAATAACCATAAAATGTAAAGGTTATCCTTCTATTAGGTCGGTCCATAATTTCTGATACACTCCACATGTATTGTTGTGAAAATCTTTTGAAAAGTATTGAAGCTCTTCAGTTCTGCAACTTTTCACACAAGCTCGCTCCTGATAGGCTAGCCACCTCGTTTGCTTGTTGCTTTCTTTAGCTAGGGTAATTTCTCCGGAACCTATTTCTGAGCCCCCTTCTTCATGACAACCGATTAGGATCTTCCACGCGCAAGGCTCCAGGGAGCATAACTAAAAGATAGATGAGGGCAAGACAAAATTCGTGTTTTCTTCTGAGGTCGTTCGAGTCCACCTTGCTAAGAAAATTCATGAAAAATTGGAGACTCTCGGGCGGTCAGTTCTTTTAGCTCCGCCTTGTAGCACTAACCTTGTGCCAACGAACGACCGCTCTCCTCTCTAATCACCTTCTGGAGAAGAAATCTCACTTGAATCACCATGATGTCAAAATCGACATCCAATATTTCTTCGATCAGAACTCTATGGAATTCTACAGAAGAGGCTTGAACACTACCCTCGCTATACCATGTTGAATGAATACATCAGAGAAATAGAATAAGTAATTAAATCAAGAACACCCAAAGTGTCTCAGAAATTATGGACCGACCTTATATTTTGTAAACCGCTAACTTGGTGTCTCGGTTTGTATGTATGTATGTAT